TAATCCCCTCTGCCCACTCTTGGTTGCAGCTGAACAGAATTACCCATTCTCCCTGCCCAGGCCTTCGCTAATCTGAACACTGGTTTCTGAGCAACCGGCTCCAGAGAGGATCCCTGTCGGCACAGAGCCAGCTCTTGGCTAATGGTTTTGTGTTGGCTTTCATTTCTGAGTCGTTTATTTAGGAACATAACCTCAATGGGATTAGGGTGAGGCAAGTAAAACAGGCGTGAAGGGAAAGCCAGCACAAAGACCTGCCCTCCAGTCAGCTCTAGCTGCGGCTGACAGGTTGCTTCATGTGGGATCTTCTAAGAGGCCTTGGGAAACGTGTCTGGAAGGCAGTCTGTCTGGTGACATCAGTATGCCTGTCCCCTTACCCATGGGTTACAGGTTGGCCTACAGAGTCCTGGAAATATATGTTCAAAGCATATGCAATAAAGTGAGCAACTGCCTTAGGCACGCAGATCAGGGACAAACTGGAATCGACCCAAACCCAAACATCCGTCAATAAGGAAATGGCCAGAGAAGCTGTGGTTGGCTATTACAATGGAAAAACCACGCAGCACAAAAGGATAAAGCGTCATTATACACAAGAGGCCCGGTGAGCCTCACAGATATAGTGTTAAACGAAAGGAGCCAAATACTGAGTTATCTGCACATTCCTGTTCCCATGGGGTTCAGAACCAGAACCCATCTATGGTGACGCCGTGAGGGGAATGCTTACGTCTGGAAGGGGACATGGCGGAAGGGGGCACCCAAGGAAGCACGTTTACTATCATTTTGTGTGGACTTGGCGATGGAACCTAAGGCCTCTCACAGCCGGCAAACTCTCTACCACAGAGCCGTACCTCCAACTCTGCTTTCAACTTTTACTTCAAGACAGGGTCTCACAAAGTTTCTCGGGCAGGCGCTGAACTCATTCGAGCCCTGACCAATCCTGAGTTTGCCGTTCTTGAGGGTGAGCTTCCAGACGCGCTTCTCAAACGTGGTTTGTGCTTACTCGACGTGCAGAATCTGTGGAATCCTCTCAGAACCCTGACAGATGGCATGAAGGGGTTTTAGGGGTGTGTGTGTGTGTGTGTGTGTGTGTGTGTGTGTGTGTGTGTGTGTACACACTCTCAGATGTGTGCAGATGCAGGCTGCTGCGTGTATGCACACTCATGTGGAGATCAGAGGACAATTTTGGCGGCATCCTCAGCGACATTCTCTACCTCTTTTGAGACGCGGTCTCTCGTTGGTCTGGAGCTCCCTAGTTAGACTAGGCTATCTGGCCAGCAAGACCTCCTCAGCTCTGGGACCAAGAGCACACACCACCGACAACTTTTCTGTGGTTTCTGGGGTTCAGACTCAAGCACTCAGCTGGGAGGCAAGCACATCATCAACCGAGCCATCTCCTTACTCCTGTTTGAAGATTTTTTTAAAGGTGAAAATACTGGGGGCCAGGCAATATCATACCCTAATTTATCTGGTTAAAATATAATCCTTCAAAATGCAGGGTGTGCAGTTTCCTGCCACTCTGCCTTGGAAAAAGACTGTCCATCCTATGAGCATAACAAACCTCAGAGCTGCTTTCCTGAGTTCCCTTTGCTGTCCAAAACCCCAAGCCCATGCTAAGTTTGGTATATAAACATTTCATTCCGGCTGTTCGGTGAGCTATTTTTACGGAGCACACTCAAGTGCAGCTGTAAATAAAGTTTGTCCCTCTCTCAGGTGATACTCAAGCCCCAACTCCTAGACCCAAGATGATAACAAGAGACGGTGTCTCCACAAGAAGCTCCAAACAATTCCTCTGCGGCTTGTGGAACTGCACTCAGTTCCTTGCCTACTATGGGGATGACTTTTCAATTCCAGGACATTTTTTTTTTTCTTTGCTAAGTCAATTAGGCCTTGTCCCAAGTCAGAGTTACTCCTACATTATGCCCTGGTGTTATGGCAGACAGAAGGTGGAAGAGCCAAACCTAACTGGTGCTGGTGACTCCAGGATCCTTCCTGATGTGCAAGCTGAGAGTCTGCCCTCATTCTTGACTCCCCCATGACACCTCCAAAGATCAAGCTGGATTGATCTCTGTCTCGAAAACCAACTCCCCCCAAAACAAACAAGCAAAAAAAAAAAAAAACCCACAAAAAACAAAACAAAACAACAACAAAAATAAACTGTATCACTAATCAGAGAGCTTTCCTAGGTCTTTCTTTCCCAATCATCCATGTCATGCCTATACTGGGTCAAAAGCCACCTAACTCCTAGTCTTATGCTGTTCCCAACACAGCTGCCACAGTGGGGTCCTGCTGTCTGGCCTTCTAAACCCCGACTTAGGACCCATCACTCTGCCCAGAGCTCTCCAGGGACCCTTCCAGCCACTTGCTTGTAAAGTTAAAAATCACAGGGCACCATTGTCTTGGACAAGGTTCCTGAGTGAGGCCAACAGACCGAAAGGAATCAGTGGCTTTCATCTCACATCCCTGAGACCAAATGATCTGAATTTAGAGATCGGAAGAGGGTCGTGGCTGGATTTCGAGAACGGGTGAGGCTGATAAAGTCCCTTCTTAGTTCTTACCAAAAACAAGGGAGTTGCTATTGACCAGTCAGTGATTCATTGCCTGTTTCCCTGTTGCCACCTTCCCAGGAAAGCAGATTTGAACTCAGGGAGCCACCGTTTGCTTTGGCTTCTACTTTTTCTTGCAGGGCTGGGGTGAACCCCACCCGAGCCCTGTGCTGTTTTGTTCTTGTCATGTTCTTCCTTCTTCTTTGCCTGCTGAGCTCACCGGGAGGGAAGCCCCTTCTGTTCTATGGGATGAAGCCAGACTCCAGAAACACAGACAAAGCCACCAAAGATCTTTAAACTCTGTTGCAATTTCTATTTTGATAGAGTGACGTTTCCCATACCCACAAAATTCCTGTTGCCCTCCCCACGCTCCATCTTTTGTACTGCTGTGACTCTGACCTCAGCGGCTCTTTGGAGCTCAGAAACTTTCCTGCTTTCAGCTTCTGACCTTTCTCTGGCTGTTCTCACAACCTCCTCACTTGTTGGTATTACACCCGCCCCTCCCCTACACTGTCTCCCCTACATTGTACACTCTCTCTTCAGGGTGAACTGAGCCGGGCTGAAGAAATGGTCCAAGAACTTTCTGGTGAAGTCTGAGATGGCCCTCAGAGCCACCAGCCACCAGACAGGCTTGGAAAGCACCCTGAATCAAGAAAAAAAAACTAGCCCAGATCTTAGGGTTTGTTTGTTTGTTTGTTTCTCTTCATGGGCAAGTGCGGAGAGCTGTCGGCCCCCAGGTGGAAAAGGAAATGGAATGGGGGAATTCCTCGTTGGGGTGAAAAAGGCACTCCAACACTGAGAAGCTCAGAGGTAGGGACCTACCTGCTTCAGGAATGAGGAAGCCCCTAGCCCTACAGGGGTGCGGCAGGAGAGGGAGGAAGAGTACCCAGAGGACCTGCCCTCCTGCTGCATGCCCTCCACATGGGGTCATGGCTGCGCGACAAGGTCTCCCAAAACCCGGGTCCCTGCAGTGGCTCTCCTTTCTCCACCTGTGCAGAGCTGAGGTGAGTGGGAGGATGGGACAGATTGTGTTCGTGGGTCTGGTCCCAAGACCCTCAACTCCAAATGGCAGGCAGCTCCACACAGACTCCATCCGCCCCTTCTGAAGGGCCTGACATACCCCAGGAATGCCCCAAGATTGTCCCAAGATGGCAACTCCTTCTCCCAGGCAGCACAGCCTGTCACCTCAGTATGGAATGAAGTTCTAGAAGTCAGTGTCACACCCCAGCGGCAAGTCCCAGACTGCAGGGCCTAGCAACCCTCAGAGCTCTTCTTGACTGAGGCCCAGAGTGCAGAGTACTCTAAGACCACAAAGCTTCTTCTTAAGGACAGCGCCGGAAACAGGACAGGACAGAGCTTTTGATACAGTTTTAAATTTCTTTCCAGTTTCCGGCTTTTCCATTCTAAGACACATTCAACGTGTCCACTCCATCCCAGAGCTGCGTTCATCCAGCTTAAAATTTCCAAGGAACGCCCCCCCCCCCATGTGTGTCCCTAAGAACACTTGGCCTTGGTCCTTGAGGGATTAAGAGTCCTCTCTCTCAGGAGAGGCTCATGGGAAATACAGTTCTCAGTGTCACTCCTTGCCTGAGAAACTCATTTCCTAAGTGTTCCTAAAACATCTGTCCACACTGGCTCTCCTTCCTGGGCCCTTGGGCTCAGAGTAGTATGCTCGCTCTCCACATCCTGGTACCCGAAGCCTGGCTAGGGACCTGGTCCTGCCTTTGATTTGACTGCAAAGTTCCAGGATATTGAAAACAGAAAGATTTTAGAGGTCAGAGTTCTGCCCCTACACTGGGACACGGTCCCTTTGAGACCTTAGGAACACTCACGTCTACTGATAGGGGATGAGGGCTCCACTTATATCCTGAGCATCTGAGACAGATGTATTTTCTCTGAGCACCAGCAATGTAAGAACATTAGTGGCAGCCAGGTGTGGTGGCGCAGGCCTGGAATCCCAGCGAGTCCAGGACAGCCAAGACTACACAGAAAGATCCTGTCTCTAAAAAAAATAAAAAGTGGTCATCTGAGTCAGTGTGCCCATTTTACAGATCAAGAAGCTAAGGCTCAGAAAGGTTCTCTTATTTATCCTTGGGCCCTAGAACTGAAAAAAAAAATCTAGGCTCAGCAGAGAAATTCAGGTCAGCCCATGAAGCTCAGACCCCAGGCATGGCTGAGAGGGGCAAACACCATCTCTCTCCCTTGCCCTTCCCAGTTGCAGGGGAGGATCTCAGAATGGAAATGATGATGCCGAATCTTCAAATCAGAGAGGAGAGGCTGTCAGACAGGAGGGCGGGGGTGGGGGGAAGTGGGATGGTGAGCCTGCTGTCAGCCCTCACAGCACCTCTGCGTTCACCTGGCTGCATTCTGGAACCTACCAAGTCACGCCTGGCCAGGTGGCTGCCCCTCCTCCCCAGGTTGAGGAAGCAGGAAAGAGTGGTGAGGAGAGGCAGCGGGCAGGTCCGCCAGGCAGTGCTGGTCAGTGGCCAGGCAAGGATGGGCTCAGTCTGGGGCCTGGCTGTGGCTCTCCTTTTCTTCTGCTGGAAGGCTGGAGTCACTGTGAGCTCTCCAGGTAAGGGAGAGGACACCCCCCCTCACCCTGGTGGGGCTCCTCCCTGGCAGGGAGTTTTGGCAAAGAGAGCCCTTTGTGGGCAAGGGTTATTTCTGTTAGTTGTGATTAATGGCCTGAAGAGTGGACCAGTGTTAGGGATGGTAGATGTGTCTGTGTAAGCATGGTGACGAAGACGTCATCACTGTGAGGGAGTCTGGGGGTTAGTCTTTAGGCACAGGGACAGCAGAGTGAGAGGGTAGAGGGGGCAGGGAGACACCACTGGTGACAATCATGCTGTGAACTGAGGAATATGGACTAGCAAACCTTTACCTCATGGAACTGTGCTAGCTAGCACAGCTGTTCTCTGAAATCTGCCTTTTGAATGAAAAGTTTGTCACACACTGCTTGGACAGGGGGAGGCAGGAGAGGTGGGCTTTTCCGGAAGATGGGAAGTCACACCAATCTGTCGGTAGCAGGCACTGTGCCAAACTCACCACACACTCTTTAAGAGGCGATTTCCAGAGGAACTTTAGGTCGGGAGTAAAACTGGACAGGTCTCATCTCTCCTGTTCCTAACCACACACGGTCCCCTGCTGGCCCTAAGGTCTCCGCAGCACTGGCGTTGTTACAGTGAAGGCCCCACCATGACGCAGCACACTGTCTAGTGTGATCCCTGTTTAAGAATTCTTAGACTTTACTTATCGGCAGTCTCCCTATGCAGGGCCCTGGCTGCCTGGAACTTGCTATATAGACTTTGTTTGTTTGTTTCCATTTTCTATTTTCTGTGTGTGTGAGAGAGAATGTTTTTAATATGTGTGGATTCACACGTGTATGGCTGTGTATCAACATGTGTGCAGTGTATATGGAAGCCCAGAGGTTTTTTTTTTGGGGGGAGGGTCATCCTTGAAGGCTCTTTCACCTTATTCCTTGAGGAAGGGTCTCTGAATCAAACCCAGAGCTCATCAATATAGCTAGACAGACAGACAGACAGAGTCCACAAGTACCTGACACATGTGTGGAGGCCAGATGACAGCCTGAAGATTAAACTCATGTCGCCAAGCTTGGTGCAAGTACCTTTACTCCCTTGAGCTTTGGGACTGGTCCAGCATTGCCTTTTAAATCTTCACAGTAACTCTAGGCAATAGGCACCCACCTCTGAGATGCTGCCGGCTGTCAAGGTGACTGCAGCTTAAAGGGAGGACTTTATCCCCGGAGTGAGCATGTGCTAGCAGCGCCCAGCCGCCGGACCACCCTGCCTGTCTCTCACGCTCGCAACTGACCATGCTCATGCTGCATTGTTCAGTCTGTTTAACCGAAGCCTCACAACCCCACGAACCAGGTGGCCCTCGCCCCACTTCACCCATGAGAAAATGTCAGTGTGAGCACAGGGACTTGGCCCCTGTGCCTGAGTTGGTACCCAGCAGAACAAAGGAGCCGAGATGGGACTCAAACCAGGCTCTGTGTCCACATGCTCCTCAACCCCATTTTGGAGACATGGAGGAGGAATGCAGCAGGGTCCTATGACCTGGGCTGGGCTCTGTGGACCGGGGGACATAGCTTGGGCTCGGGAGTGGGGAGAGCCTATGAAGAAGCCTATCCGAATGCAGTTGTGCGCGTGTGTGTTCGTGCGCGTGCATGTGTGTTCATGTGTGTAGTTGTGTTAACTGAGCACAGAGAGAATGTGTGTGCACATGCTCTCCTCACCCACGTGAGCTGCCTTCAGCGCCCTGGCAACTTGCTTTCCTAGGGCACATTTCATTCAGGCTGGAGGCTCCTCTCCCCATCATCCTAATTACCCTTAAAGATGTAGATTACCTCCAAAGCCATTCTTGACTTTCAAGAAAATGCTTTCATGGGAAAATATTTTTTTGGGGGCCAGCAAACTACCCATGGAAGGGCGACAGTTTCTTCAGAAAGCTCTGGAAGTCCTGATCCCTGTTCGACAGTTCTTGTCTCTTGTGGGTTCGGGCCCTCTTTGCCTACACTTGTTGGTACATGCTGCACGGCAGACCACTGACCAGCTGGCATCCTGGGGCTGGCTGGCCTCAAGGGGGTTATCAAGGCTACAGAGGCAGGGCAGTGTGCCTTCAGGGCTGCCACGAAGGCCTTGGCTTCTCTGTGCTGCTCCCATCATCTTTGTTTATATGGACAGTGACCCTCCGCAACATCCAATAGCATCCAGGGCACAGGCGCAAAAGCTCCTGTGCGGTCAGTTCACAGGGGTGTGGGGGGCGTGGGGGTGGGAGCCATGGACTCACCAAGTGGTTCTCGCCCGACACAGGCCTCAGCATCAGCCGATCAGCTCCTTTGGTGACAACAGACAACAAGGAAGTGCCTGCCTTTACTCAAACGGACAGGCCCAGCTCAGAGGGCGCTTTCCAGACCACTGACCTTACTCCTCCATGTGCTCCTCTAGACACTCAAACTCTGAGCACTGGAGCTGCTTCTAACACCTTGACTGCAACCAGTGCCAGGTCAGAAGGCAGCTCCAGGGACACCCAGACCGCCTCTTTTGTAACAAAGACCAGGAAGACACACACTACCTCCCCTAAATCATCATCCCTGGACACACAGACCCCTTCCTCTACAACATCATCCCTGGACACTCAGACCCTCTCCCTTACAGCATCATCCCTGGACACCCAGACCCCCTCCTCTACAGCATCATCCCTGGACACCCAGACCCCTTCCTCTACAACATCATCCCTGGACACCCAGACCCCCTCCTCTACAGCATCATCCCTGGACACCCAGACCCCCTCCTCTACAGCATCATCCCCGGACACCCAGACCCCTTCCTCTACAACATCATCCCTGGACACCCAGACCCCCTCCTCTACAGCATCATCCCTGGACACCCAGACCCCATCCCCTACAGCATCATCCCTGGACACCCAGACCCCCTCCTCTACAGCATCATCCCTAGACACCCAGACCCCCTCCCCTACAGCTTCATCCCTGGACACTCAGACCAGCTCCCAGACAGCATCACCCCTGGACACGCAGACCCCTTCCCAGACAGCATCACCCCTGGAGATCCAGACCCTTTTCCTTTCAACATCGTCCCTTTCAGCATCAAGCCAGACCACTTCTCTTGCTCCATTATCCATGGATAACCAAACCAGTCTCCTTGCACCATTGATGAGAAATGCTCAGACCACTTCACCTGTAGCATCAACCTTAGAGACCCAAACCAATTTCCCTACAGTGTTGTCTCTGGATCCCCAGAGCACTGCCCCTGAACCATCCTCCCTGGATACTCAGACCATTTCCCCTGTATCCCTGGATACCCAGACCACTTTCCCTGTATCCCTGGATACCCAAACCACTTCCTCTGAAATATCGTTGCTGAATACCCAGACCATTTCCTCTGCACCATCCTCCCTGGATACTCAGACCACTTCTTCTGCATCATTATCTGTAGATACTCAGACCACTTCCTCTTCCCCATCAGTCCTGGAGAACCAGACCACTTTCCCTACCACAAAGACCCCAGAGAACCAGACCATCTCCATTCTTGAATTGACCCTAAAGTCCCAGACCGTTTCCTCTGTAACAGAGACCAGAACTCTTGAAATAAGGATACCTTCCAACTTCACGGCTGTGCACCCCACAGAGACTTTGGCAACAAGCAGAAGCCCATCAGTCTGGATGGGCACCATCGAGACTGGCACAGTGAGTGATCCCATAGAAGCCATCTTTGATAGCCTCTGTACTGATGACAGCTCTGAAGAGGCAAGGAAGATTGCAGTTGACTTCCTGACTTTGGCACACACCTCCACAGAAGCCCAGCACCTGTCTTCAGAAAGCAGCTCCTCCTCCTCCTCCTCCTCCTCCTCCTCTTCCTCCTCCTCCTCCTCCTCCTCCTCCTCCCCCTCCTCCTCCTCCTCCTCTTCCTCCTCCTCCTCTTCCTCCTCCTCTGAGAGCTCAGCTGGGGTCCTCAGCAGCTCACGGGTCCTGGAACCCGACATTACAACTCCAGCCCAGGACTTGGTTACCTTCAGCATCACTCACATTAAGCTCACCACCTGCACCACAGAAATAGAAACGTCTGTCATCGTGTCTGGAGCCCCAGACACAAGCCACAGCCCTACAGAAGTGACGGCCTCCTGGTCCTCTTCTGAGACGTTGACTCTGCCTCAATCCCTGTCAACAGCCAGCACCTCAGCCCCTGCCACTGCCCTCGAGGTCACCCTCCCCACCAGTGGAATCCCAGAAAGAGAAACAACAGTGGCCCAGACCCCTACCTCAGCATCGACACCCGCTGAGGCTTCGACAAAACGTGATCCAGGTAAGTGAAACTCCATGGTGATTTTTTTTTTCTCCCACATGTGAGTTGTTGAGATTTGGAGTATCCTTAAGGAGTTGAGAGGAAGAAAGGAGATAAGGGCCGATACTGCATCGTCTCCCTGACCTTTCACGATCTCCTGATCGGTTGGTAATAAGTAGTTAAGATGTATGTGTGGGGTAGTGATGTATGAGTGATGGAGTGATGTTTGTGTGATGTCTATGTGATGAGTGTGAAACCGGGTTTTTGAGACGTGGTTCAGATCTTGGCTCTGGGCTAGCCTGAGAGACCCTGGACCTGTCCCTCTCCTCTGAGCCCGAGTTTCTTCACCTCAGATAGAGGGCGGCTGTACTGGATGAGCGCTAACGTTTCCGGGTTAACCTCTACCAATTAACAACAACTAGGCAGATCCCGTGCACCAGGGGAGATCTGAAACGTTGTTCAGAAGACTTGACTCTCAAGCCTTGGAAGTCTCTAGCCCAGCCATGCCCACGCAGAAAGGAAAAACGTAAACAACTTGTCCAGACGGCTGCCATGTGGAGCGTGGGGAGGGTGTGGAAGTGGGGCTTGGCGGCCATATTTGCTGTGCTCTACATCAAGAGCTTTAGACAAAGCAACGTAACAACATTTGTGGAGTTTAAACCTTCGTATCTGAAACCATAGAAACTTCTCAGAGAAGCTCGCTGTCAGCAACTCTGTGGTGGGAGCAGTTGGGGGCAGCCTGGAGCGCCTGCCTCTGCTACTTATCTTGTCCTTCTGATTCATTCCTGGGTATCTTTGTCTTGTCCCACCTTTTTGGGCAAGGGAAATAGAAACACGAACCACGAGTTGAGGCTATAGCTCAGCGGTACAGCGCTTAACACTGTGGGTGTGCCTGGGTCTTTCATTTGACTCAAACCCTGAAAAACAAAACAAAACAAACAAGCAAAAAAAAAAAAAAAATGACGTATTTATTATCCCTATCTCCCCATGTTACCTCTGCCTTTATCATCTCTGTCTCCATCTTCTCTGTGTACCTGTCATCTCCATCTCAGTCTTGGCCTCTGTCTCTCTTATCTGTTTCGTCTCTTTATCATCTCTTCAGCTCTATCTGTGTCTACCTACCATACAATACACCTTCAGGCATGCTATCACAGGCCTGCGACCCAGCACTCGGGAGACAGGAGCAGGACTGTGAATCTGGAGCCAGCTTGATCTACCTAGTAAAACCCTGTCAACCAACCCAAAACAGAAATTTAAAAAAAAAAAAATCACAACCGTGTTATTGAGTTATCTTTTTAAAAATCTAGACAAAAATAAGATAAAAAGCAATTCACAGACAGTAGGCAGAACCCAAAAGTGAATTCAGCAGATGTTCTAGTTTTCCTTCTGTTGCCATGCTAAACACGGTGACTAAAAGCATGGGGAGGAAAAGATTTATTTCAATTGTTGGCTTGCTTCTCCTGGCTTGCTCAGTTTGTTTTCTTATATAGCTGGGACCACCTGCCTAGGATCTATTTTCAAAACATTTCCCCACTGGTTCTAAAGAACATGTGGGCCAGGTAGTGCTACCACAGAAAACTAGCCTTTTTTTTCTCGTGGGTTCATACCCATACTTAGTCTCAAGACTTGCCCCAGTGGGCTTTTTCTTGGGGGCTGTTGGCACACTTCCCATTCTGAGAGCTGAAGGTGACATGGACACCTGGACACCTGGACAGGTCCGAAGTTTCTAGAAACAAGCCCTCTTGCTGTTCCATTCCCATAGAGAACTCTGTTAATAAGTGTCTGTCTGCATGGAGAATGGAGCAGAGATGGCTTCATTTTACAAAGAGTGCAGCCTTGGAGGGGAGGGAGATTCTTAAATGTAATCTCTTTCTCTCTCTTCCCCTCTCTGTCTCTTTCTTCCTTCTTCTAAGCCTCCTCTTTTCTTTCTTATCATCATTATCATAGTGTGTGTGTGTGTGGGGGGGGTTAACAGGAATTCACGTATCATGGTGCATGTGAGGAGCTCAGAGGACAGCTTGGTACGATCATTTATCTTCTTTCACATTTACATGGGTTCCAGGGATTGTACTCAAGTCATCATGCTTGCTCTGCTTTACCTATTGAACCACCTCAAAGACTCAGGAGAGAGTTCTGAGCACAGATCTCAAGGAAATTTATCCTACTCCAAATTCCAAATCCACAACCTCACAGATGATCGACACCCTTGGTTCACCTATCAGGCACAGAAACAGTCAGTGCCCGGTCAGAGAGTCAGAGAAAGTTCTCTAGAGAAACAAGTGGCTCTGTAGGCTGCTGGGACCAACCCAGGAATTCCTGGCCCAGGACTGTCTAGCTGTCACAAAGTTTCTTTTTCTCAACAAACATAAAATGATGTCTATTTCTATTCTCCCCAGATAGCAGGGGCTCTTATGAACTCTACCTAGTCCAGCTTGGTAAAACAACACTCTTACTGATGTATTCTACAGGAGCCTGGATGGGCCAGAGTCAGTCATACACCAAGGAGTCCCACCTCTTTGTAACCTTGGGGAGAGGTGGGGCCTCATAGGATCAGGAGCCTCTCTGATCCTCGTGTGAGGGAGGTAAAGGTCTTTGCACAGGTGGTCATGGCTGCTGTGACCTAAGACATCAGCTATCATGCCTGGCCCAGAAGAACCGATGCTCAACACTAGCTATGAGCAAAAAAAACCTCCCGGCTCACCCTCCTTCATTTTTACCGCCCCAAAAGGCTAATGGCTTAAGGACAAGTTTCTGGGGCAAGGAAAAAGAAACATCTGGAAAACCAGAGGATAAGGATCATCTTGGGGTGCTCACGTACCCTGAAGGCCTTCACAAGTTGGGGAGGAAGGAACAGGATGTAGTGAAAAAAGACAGAACAGATTTTCTGGAGACTTCTAGGAGCTGAGCCAGTGGGCTGCTATCATAGTCGCTCCTATCTGGTTGCCTTCAGCTTAAAGGTGAAAAGAGATATGAGGTAAATTTAAGCTAGGTCAACTTTGTGCTACAGTCTCACAGGAAACAGTTCTTAAATGGTTAATGTCAATAGTTTAAAGTTGAACAGGAATCTGACCCAAAGGTTAAGTTGACAAAGGAGACAGATATAGGGTAGAGGCAGAGACGGCAAGCATTTTTGTCTTGTTTTAGGGACTCATCAGACATCTGCAGATTTGAGCAGGCTCAGTGTTTTTAGCAAAAGGGACCTCTGAGCCCAGAAAGGTAACATACTCAAATGGTGTTGTCAAAACCAAAGCCGAAAGTATCTTCTACAGCGAGTTTTTGAGAGACTAAAGATTCGATACTCAGCTTCATGATCCCCCAAATTAGTGATTTGTAAAGTAAATGCAGCTAGAGGGTTTATTTATGTTTCCTTGACATTAAAAGGTAGAATTTAGCAGGTGGTTGTGGCATATGCCTTTAATCCCATCGGTTGAGGCCAGCCTGGTTTACAGAGTGAGTTCAAGGACAGCCAGGACTACAAAGAGAAACCCTGTTTTTAAAAAAAGAAAAGAAAAGAAAGAGGGGGGAGGGAGGGAGGAAAGAGAGAAAGAGAGAGAGAGAGAGGAAGGAAGGAAAGAAAGAAAGAAAGAAAGAGAAAGGAAGGAAGGAAGAAAGAAAGAAAGAAAGAAAGAAAGAAAGAAAGAAAGAAAGAAAGAAAGAAAGAAATTTCCTAATAGAGCTGGTAAGGTAGAAAGGCTCCGCTAGGAGACCTCCTCACTCTACGAACTTACCATTGGATAAACTGGCTCAGAGCACCCCTCAGAGGCCACACTCTTCATCACCCTTTCTGGCCAGGGTCCTCTCCAACAGACTCAACCAGGGTCTCCAGAACTTAAGAACATTCTCGACCCACTCCCATCTTCCCTCCCTCAGTCTTCTCTTTGGTTTTTTTCAAATGTGGGAGGTGCCCTAAGACATCTTGTATTGTACCCACTGGTCAGGAGGACACTGCAGTAGGCCTAATTATCTCAAGAGTGGAGTCCTCAGTTCCATTTGTGGTGAGCAAATGCTGCACACACATTTACAGGAGAGAGTGCAGACAGGTATGGAGAGGGGCCTGGGCTGGAAATGAGTTGTGCTTGTACCACCTTCCATCTATCCTCAACTTTCAGGTGAAGGCAGAGGCTTCCTCCTTGTACGGCTGAGCGTGGCCTCCGCTGAGGACCTCACAAAGCCCAAAGCCACAGAGAAGCTGATGCATCAGGTACGTGGCCTATCAGCAGTGAGATGAGGGGCTCTCGGGGACTCCAGGGAGCATCTGCAGGACATAGAAGGGTGGCTACTACATGACGCTGTGTTACAGGAAAGAGAATCCAGAGTTGAACCCGGGGCTCAGGGCTGGCTTTGATCTTGCCTAGCTTCTCAATTCTTCTGTTCCCTTTTTGTAATGTGAGAAAATATCCCCCTTCCTTGATCCAATTTTTCTTTCCCCATGTCTTGGAAATGCAGGCCTTCTGACCTTTGAAAAGGGCAATGGTGTTGATGGGAAGGTAAGCAGAGATCTTAGCTGCAAGCAGCAGGAACCAAGTCATGGTAGTTTACCTGGAAAAGGCAAGGTCTGAGGAATCAGCTTCAAGTTCAACCCCTGATATCAAATCCTCTGGAACTGGAATGACAGGGATTGTGAGCCACCACGTGGGTGCTGGGAATCAAACTCAGGTCCTCTGGCAGAGCAGCAAGTGCTCTTAATGACTGAGCCATCTCTCCAGCCAGATCCAATTTGTTTCAGATCCTAGGTGTCCAGACTTTTGAGAAGTTTAGTGACATTGATGGGGGGAGGGGAAGCCACATTCTTGATTGCAAGGGAGGGGTGACCCCAGATGCACAGAATCAAAGGAACAGCAAAAGAGCAGTTTTTTTATTTGTTTTTTTTGTTTGTTTTGACAGGGTTTCTCTGTGTAGCCTTGGCTGTCCTGAACTTGCTTTGTAAACCAGGCTGGCCTCGAACTCAGAGATCCACATGCCTCTGCCTCCCAAGTGCTGGGATCAAAGGTGTGCGCCTCCACACAGCCAGAATTGCCATGTTGAAAAGCATGAGGACATGCTCCCTCGGTGAGCATCATGCCTCCTCCACGTGCTGTCACAAGCGGGTTTCCACTGTCTGTGAGTTGCTTGTTGCAACTAAAGTTCCGAGCAGGAACATCCAATCGGCCAAGCGTGGCTCTTGTACGCACCAAATACAATCCTGGGATATTAAGAGGAAATAAATATTTGAGTCTCCACATTTTCTTAGTAGCAAGGAGGCCCGGTGGGGCCACCTAGATGAGGATTTCTGTCCACAATGCACCCAAGTTTGATGTACGACAGACAAATAAATGACAGATGTCATATCAAAGTAGCGAGCATGGAGCCTCACGGGAGAGGGAGGCCACAGCGGACTGTAGACCTGACAACTATTTCAGAGGTCAGAAAGCAACTATTTCAGAGGCCCCAACTCAGGGTCAGGTCAGACAGCTGAAGTGCAGGAATGAGGCCCAGGAGTCAGGAAGATCTGAAAGTGGGCTGTAGGTAGCTGGGAGAGCTAGGGTAAATCAGACCATGCCACATGTATCCCTTCTGGAAGGAGGATAAGAGCACCTGCTGTGAGGTTGTTTTGTTATTGTTGTTGGATTTCTCTGTGTAGCCCTGGCTGTCCCGGACTCACTTTGTAGACCGGTCTGGCCTCGAACTCACTGCAATGCCCCCTGCCTCGACCTCCCCAGTGCAGGGATTACAGGCGTGCGCCACCATGCCTGGCCTGGCTGCTGTGAGTTTCAAATGGCCCTTGTCATCACAGGAAGCATTGTTGATTTCCCTTCACTGCCCCTTCCTGTCCTTGGCTTACAGTGGGCTCCCGGGCAATAGGCTGGCGCCTGACGTGTTCTTTTGCTTTCCAGGTCCACCGTGAACTGCACAGCCACATGCCACTTGTCCGAATGTCCTTACTGAGCGTCAGGAGAGGCTGATGAATGGTAGCTGCAACCAGGCAAGTCCTCTGTGCCAGGAGAGTAACGCTGCCTGTGGCCCCAGCCCCACCAAAGCCTCAGGACCCAGGAGGCTCCCTCGAAGGCCAGCTGGCTCGAGAGCCCTACCCTGTACCTTACCGCAAGATGTTGGTCCGGTTACGCCTGAGTGTATGTGCAAGGGGAGAGGGCTGGGATGTCCTTCACCTCCTCTGACTGGCTGTTCTATTTCAGTAAAGAGAGACCTGACCTCTCACCTGTGGTCTTCTGTTTTGTACTCAGTGACACTCAGTGGGACCCCAGAGATTGTCAGTCTCGAGCCCATGTGCCTCAGATGTTTTTATTACGTGGGAATTTGGGGAGTGATTTCTTGATGCCTGGTTTGGTTTGACTTTTACAAGACTTGCCCTGGATCCCTCTGAAGCTTGAGCTTCGTATTAGTCAGCTTTCTGCCGATATAGCAAAATATGAGGTCATCAAATTACAATGAGAAAGTAGCTTATTTCTGCTCACGGTTGAGATGGTTCCAGGTCAGAAGAGGGCAAACCCATTGCTTTGGGCCTCAGGTTGGGTCAAAATAGGGCAGATTCATTGCTTTCTGTATAAGGTGGGAGAGCCAGGGGCACAGGTAGGAAGCGCCTAGCAGAGCCAACTGCTAGTCTTCTGCCCAGAAAGCAAAACAATGCAAGAGGAAGGAGCTAGGGTACCCAACCCCCAAAGGGCTCATCCCAGTGGCTCTCCTTTAGGCTCCATCTCCTGGAAGCCTCACCCACCGAGGACCAACCCTTTAACCCAGGGACCTTCCAGAGACACACCCGAACAGTAGCGAGCAGGACAGTGGCCATGTCTGTTCATCTCAGACCCCCTGAGCCTGGAAGAACTGGGTCCAGGTGAGGGGGTACCACAGAGAAGGTCCAACCGATTTAAAGGTCAAGCTGTGGACGGATTCAAAAGCAATCTATAGCGTGCAGTGATTCCTGCCATAGCTCATGCTCACCCGCTGGGGTTTCAAAATTAGATGTAGCTTGTTTTTTCTTCTCTCATAAAGGCATAAGCTGCTTAAGATCTTAAACTTTTGAAAAATCCAAAAGGAGAACCAGAAAGAGCAATGTAGGAAGAGGAGAGGTGGAGGACGAGGAAAACACCTGAAACACCAGCCCTTACCAGCTCTTACACCTACAGCCAGCGCCCACGTGCGTGTGCAAATGCTCACTCACTGTGCACCCAGCACTCCAGTCATTCTCCTTCCCCTCTCACACTTTGTACCAGAAAACCCAACTGGCTTCTCCTCCCCAAGGAACGCCTAGCACCTGACGCTCCCCACACACTCACCTCGCTGCTGCCTTGGCCCAGCTGCTCTGCTCTCAGCCGTATAACTCCCGTCTCCCTGGGTGACCACGGGCCTCCTGGTTCACACCTGTGCCCACCTGAACACCCAGTCTACCCCCCCCCCCCCCCCCCCCGCCCCCCCCCCCCTTTCCCCCCCCCCGGCGGCCCCCCGGTTCCCCCCTCCCCCCCCCCGACCCCCCCCCCCCCCCCCCCCCCCCCACGTTAGCTGGAGCTGTCTTTTCACCACGTAGGGCAGACCTGTGCTTCCTGCTGCACCCACCTGTCTAGACCTCTCCTCCAGGCATCTGCTCAACCCCTCCTCCCTCTCCACCTCCTCCAGCGCATCCTCAATGTGCTCCGCCCACGGTACCCTTCTCACCCTACCTATTGACCACCCCTCTGCTTCGAATAACCTGATATAATATGTATTTCTTTTATTTGTCCTTATCACCGGAGTCCTTCAACTATAATGACATCGTTTGCCCATCGTGGCATCCCTAGTCCCTTGTGCATAGTCAGTACCTCGTGTGCTGGGGACGTGGCTTGCACTCAGGGCACATGCTCAGCACGTCCCCAGCATTGAAATGATGATAACAGTTGTCCCGTGAGTATGTGAAGTGCTTAATGAAAACAACCAACAGCTTTGGGGTTGCTCTGAATAAAGTGTGTGTGCCCTCAACTGACATCTTGGGGTTCTCAGAGTGGGCAAGGATGGGATTCACAAAGCTGAGCAGTAGCAAATAACTCAAACTCTTCCCCCGCTGTGTCCGGTGAGTAGCTACCACAGGAGAGACACTGAGATGTGTGCTGAGGAGCATCCAGCCTTGTCTCCTGAACCAGGAAGATGCCCAGGGAGTGAAGACGCCTGCTACCAAGCATAATGGCCTGAGTTTGATCACAGGGACATACAGTATGGAAGCAGAGAACCGGCTCCTCAGGGTGACCTCTGACCTCCACACACATGCTGCCTCTCCTGCCTGTACACAAAAGATAATTTACTTTTTTTGTTTTAAATCTCTCCTACCACAAAGAGTAAAGTTAGTAGGGGATGTTTAGCGACAACAAAGATAAGAGACGGGGGGGGGGGGGGGAGTCTGTTTGTATCACATTTAACCAGAACAGTGTCCTTGCTATGCAGAGAGCTTCTACAGAACAATAAAGAAACCAGCAGGCCAGCAGAAAGACGAATGTGTTATAAACAATGATGAAAATCCCAACCGTTCTATTTTACCAATAAAAACCCAGGAGCCAGATGCTGGGGTGAAAACCTGCTAGCTCAGAGAGGCAGAGAAAGCACTGAGCGACCTTCCTTCTCAGCTCAGGTCTAGATGGGAAAAAAATCTAAAAGGCTCACTAGCACAACTGACAGCCCAGGAGGAAAATGCCAAAACACCCAAGGCCAAAGGCTTGCTAGTTCAAAGCCCAAAAAGCCAAGAAGCTGTCCTCCCCCTCTTCTTTCCCTTCCTCTTCCTCTTCCTCCTCCCCCTCCTCTTCCTCATCCCATTCCTCTTCCTCCCCTTCCTCTTCCCCTCTCTCCCCCTTCTTCTCCTCTCCCTCTTCCCCCTCCTCCTCCATGTCTTAAATACCCCTCAACTCAAAGTCCCTCCTACTCTTTAATCCCTGTCAGCTGGTCTCTTGCTCCACCTCTTGACCTGGGGTTAACTTTATTATATCTGGTATATGGAGAGCTCTTGGATTAAAGGTGTGTGCTGCTAGGGCTGGGTGGACCACACCATAATTACCTGTTTACAATAAATAGAAAGTTCTTGGATTAAAGGTGTATGTAGAGCTCAATCAAACCAAACAATAAACAGGGATTGACTGTTCACAATTTTGGGGTTCACAATGGGGTCAAATATCCTGCAACAGATGGATACATGGCCAAGAGACGTGATTCACAGAAGAAAGAATGTGAATGCCTTCTTATGAAAAAAAAAAAAAATTGAGTCTTCTACCAAAGAATGGGCAAATTAATACAGTTAGATATTATTTATTATGTTTCAGGTACGTAAGTAAGGATTTTTAACTTTTTTAAAGATTTATAAAATTTTTAATACTTTATAAGTGAGTAGACATTATTAAATACTTTCAGCATGGCTAAAATTAGTACAGGATTTTGGAGACAAACTTGAGTGTTTATTTGACAATGTAAAGCCTTGAAAATGGGCAATGGGCCAGGTGAATGCCAGTCTGATGAGCAGTATGTTGTGGAGAGATGGGAGAGAAAGAGAAGAGGTTTGCGCACTATGAAGAGAGGCGGAACTGGAGATGAGATGTCATTGAGGAACAGCCTGATGTGAAAGGTCTGCATTGCCTCTGGAGGCCCTGGTGACGTCTGGGCCCATGCTGCTACCTAGAGCCACGTCTGGGTCTGTGGCCCTGCCACAGCAGACATCTGTGTTGATGTGTTTGGCCTGTGTCACCACCAAAGACCATTCGGGCGTCTGTGGTGTGGTCTGCTGCCTGAGGCCATGGTGGTGCTGGATGATCATGCTGAGCTGACTCCAACCCTCCCTGACCACCACATGGTGTCACCAGCTGTGACAAGAGTGCTGAAGAGCAGGCCCCACCCCTTGTCTGGACAGCCCAGGAGAGCTGGCTTGGATGATGTGGCTCCTGGAGAGCTGGAGATTGGACAGGCTAACCAACTCAGCTACCACTAAGGTCCAAATCTGTGGTTTTGAGTTGACCAACATCTGTCCCACCTATGAACTGCTGAGATACAGAAAGGGGGCAGTCCTGTAGACCCAAAACTGCACGGTCTCCATGACACAGGGTAAAAACAGCGTATCTGAGAAGAGCCCAGGTGAGAATCTAGTATTTACAGTGAGGCAGAGCCAGGGGCCTCAAACCAGACCAAAGACTCATTGCAAAGAACATTTGCAAGTAAGGCTATTTAGAGAAAATACTGTGTGATGCACTGTAGCTCCCACGATGAGATTGCTTTTCTCTCTCTCTTTTTTAAATTTTTAATTTTTTTATTTTCTTTTAACAGGGAGGTTACAAGGGAGAAGAGCAGATATAGAAGGAATGGGAAATGAGCGACATTAGGGTACATAATGTGAAATTCACAAAGAATAAATTTTTAAGTCTTGAAAATGTACATCCCTTCAACCCAGAGATTTTATTCCTAGTTTACTTCAATAAAATAATTGAAGACTCTATATAGAACTAGTTATAACTGCCAAAAACAAAACAAAAAACAATCAAGCAAATCTAAGAAATAAATTCCAATAAGGCAATTTAGCTACATGTAGTAGATGTTAAAACAGTATTATTTTATTCAATCTATAGAAATTCCCAGCTGGAGTGATGACTCATCAGTTAAGAGCTGCTCTTGCAAAGGATTAGAACTTGGTTTCCTGGCAGCTCACAAATGCCTGTAACTCTAGCTCTAAGGAATCTGATGCCCTCTTCTGGCCTCAATGAGCACTGCACTCATGTGCACATACCTCACCATAGATAGACACAACATTTGTAATTAAAAATAAAATAACTCAGGACTAGAGGAACATGGCTCAGAACGTTCACTCCCCTTCCAGAGGACCTGACTTCTATTTATTAGCATGGGGAAAAGTGCATAAAAATATTTTTGCTCTTATTTTCTGCTAATGAAACTATTTTTTTCTTCCACGTTATTTTTCACACTATCCCTAGCATTTTCCTTTCCAAGATCAGAGCCACTTCCATTGCTACCTAGAAGATAGATAGACTGCTTGTTATACAAGGGCCTTCATGATGTGGCCTCAGCCTGCTTTCTCACTCCTGGTCCTGCAACTCCTGCTTCTGTAGCCTGTGTCCCCGCTACAGAGGTATCTCATGCTTCCAAGCATCACCTGATCTAAGTCCTAACCCCTATGATTCCTCTTTGCTGGAATAGTATCACTTCCATGGGTCCCTTCACCTGGAAAATTTCTACCC